CCGTTCGTTGCGCAGTCTTTCACGGCAAAGTATCAGGCTTGACTCCAACACAAGCACGAATTAAACGGTTCATGGGGTCACACGTTTTAAATATGTGATGAAGGAATCTTGTGTAATGCCTTTAAGAGAAGAATATGTCATTGCAAGGGACATATTATTTTCTCTCGACAAGGAGGGTTTTTTTACCATACCTTAGAGAAGTTAAAGAAAGTCCAGTTTTCGTGGCGCCAGATTTACTGATAAATGTTCTAGTGGCAGAGGTAAACAAAAGAACTTCTTTTCTAACCAAGCGTTTTTAAATCAGTCGTAGGAGGCAGAACGTTAACTTCTTGTGAAAATGAAAACCTGGTAAGTTTCCAAGATTCTCTTTTGTATTTCACTGACTTGCTTGGATTGATCCCTTCTGATTTTAAATTTGGTATAACTTAACAAACCATTTACTTTCCCCTTTTTAACCATTTGCACCAAATTAAGACCCAAAACGTCCACCAACTTATCGGTCGGCAAACTACTAGTGAAAGGCTCAAAAACCGGAGTTACCGTTACAGAAAAATTTCCACTTTCCAATTCAGAAAAATCAGTTCTCAATAAGGGCTTCTATTTCGTTCTATTTCCAAAAAACCCGACTAATTTTTAGCAAGACGTTGAAAAATTCCGACGAAGAGGGTGATTCTAACACCTCGAACAAAGATACTTTCGAAACATTTCATATTCCAAAGTCTTAACGGAGTCCCTCAGAGGGCCAGTTCGTATCTTTAGATTTTTTATTAAAAATGTCGTCACGATATTAACAAACTTAAATTCAATCGTAACACCAGATTTTCCAACCTTCCGTCGGAAGAGTGATCGCCACTAAAAAGTCTAAAAAACGCAAAGACAGTTCTCAAGCGGCTGACAAAGGCGGCGCAGTCGTTGTTTGGTGGGCCGACCTCTACCAAAAAGAAGCGTTCAGGCAACTTTCTGACACCTCTTTAAACGAAAGAGTTGACAAAGATTTTACATTCATCGACCAAAAAATTGTAAAAAACACGATTAATGATCTTATTGCTAAACAAGAATTGTCGGCCACTGCAAAAAATTTCACCATCACCACTCCGAGAACTTCGTTTATTTACTGTTTACCTAAAATCCACAAACCTAACAACCAAATTCGACCCATCGTCTCTACTTGCAGTGGTCCCACCGAACTTATTTCCAGCTATTTAGGTCTTTGCACTAGTGTTAACTACAAACCACAGACTCACATAGTTACTTGTTGCATTTATCTTTCCATCCATCACACGTCAAGTATTTCATGCCTTTCTCACAGTTTCTCATACTAATTCGTTTATGTAGTGACGACTCTGATTTCTCCGAAAAAATCAGAAGCAATATGCCAGTTTTTCGTTAAACGTGGCTAGTTTCTGTCGTCCAAGCGGGCCACCACTGTGCCCAACAAATTGATCGACAGTCAGCACTACAAACGGCATAGAAGGAAAATACCCATCGCATTCCATTCACTCTCACATTTCACCCTCACATTTGCGTAGTTAAATTAGTCATTCTTAGAAACGTTAAATTACTTCAAAACTATTCAGAGACTGATACTATCTTTTCGCAACCTTCTCTAATTTCATTCAAACGCGACAAAAATATCGGCAACTTTTTCGTTAGAAGTTCATTTCAAACCAATGACCAACTTGGAATTTTCAAATGCGATGCACGCATGCAAAACTTTTCTTTTCGATCATAACGTAGAGAAAATACCGGGAACCAAGAAATCCATGAAGATCGTTGATCACTTCACGTGCACCTCTGCCAATGTCATCTACTGCATAACTTACACTTGTTGCAAGAATTTATACATCGGTGAAACAGGAGGACGACTAGATGACCGATTCCGATTCTTCACACTGCATATAGTATTACTGAGATGATTTATGGGATGAATTTAGAGGCATTCTGAAGGAGACGTAATTTTTATCGTCATTGTCCTAGCCTTACGGTGTAAGTTTGACTGGACCATTCATGAGGTACACCACCACAAGTACAGACGGGAAAATAAAGTACGGCAATGGTAAGTTGGACGGCATTGATGACTGTGTAGAAGGTAAACACTGATGTGTATACTATGACAGGAGAACTTTTTTACTGTGAGCAGTTGAATTGACGTATGCTGGTAAAATTCAAAGGTGTCTGACAGCTTTCATATGCCTTCCTTCACATGTAGAGTAGGCGTTATTTTTGGCCTTAAAGTGGACCCAAAGGCGAGGCGTGCGCGACACCCGAGTCGCGCGCGAGACAAAGAGTTACTTGCTCCTTTCTTTTGTCCGCCCACTTGAGAGTCGCAAAATTGGCACTTGTTCTGAATGCTTGATTCGTTCTTTCTTTCTTTGCTTCCACGTAGTCTATATTGCCCTGTGTTTAGTTGGAATAGACCATTCCTATTTTTCCCCCCGCTGGATTTTCCCTTTACTTACGAATGTTGATTGCTTTGTTTGTTATTTTTTCAGCCGCTCAGCTGTCTCAGTCAGCTTACTTTGCCCTTCAATGTCCTTACACTGTGTTTGGCTTGGGAAGAACACCCAACTTTGTTGATGAGCTTGCTGTAGGAATTCCAAGATCAAAAGGCTCTGTAAGGCTAACTGATCATTGTCTCTGCCCCAAGTCTTTTAAGAACACATAAATAAAAGCCGTGCCAAGAGATGTAGCACTCAACGGCTTTTTCTTAACGTGGTCGAAAGTCTTCCCTCTCGGAGTATTATTTTCACAAGAACAGGCGCTCGCTATCCTTGCGCTTCACGTGACTACATAGGGTAAAGATAATAAAATGAAATGAAGAGAAAAAATACTGCTGAGGCTCCTTTCTATTTTTTTATATCTCGTTTTAAAATTGTTCTTCATCCTCACATGTAATTTTTATTTGTTGCAGTCTGAAAGAAAACGTGTATGGAGTTCTATTATACCGAATTCACAAGTCATCGTGGTTCCTTACCCGCCCGACAGCCTCTCAAGGTGACAAAGAGACTATTAAATCTTCACATGAATAAAACACCTTCCTTGCTGATTATCTTAAATTAGACAGGCAACTTGGTTGTTTGATCGAGTCCTGTGAACTAAAAAAATACTGTTATAAAGTGCTGAAAAGAAAGCCTCCTCAAGACAACTAAACAGCGATATTCCAAAAGTTAAGAAACGTTTCCTTATTTCAAGTTTCATTTTTGTTTTAGTTGGACTGCAAAGTTGTTCGTTACCCCAAGCAAACTGGTGTTATTGACAGGTGTCAGTCTTTTGGGCATCTGTGTCTTTATTGGTCTTGTTATCATGTTGTTGCATCTGAAGGAGAAGGTAAGCGAATTTCAGCCGATTATACAAACACTTTAATATTATTGTTTCTCGCCTCGATTGAAATCCACCAAGTTTTGTTTAATTTTTCACCCGAAATTTCATGCGAGATGTGTTCAATGTTTCTCATCAAATTTTGTTTTGAGAAGCGATGAGAATTAAAGAAATTGGCCATCAAGCTGACTGGAAAAATGTGTCTTGATATTACGTGAAATTACAAATATTCTGGAAAAAGGTCCGAGACAAGCGTATATAGCTGTGAGTGGATTGACAGATGGTCCATTGCTCCCCCTCTAATACAAACGTTTGCCATAAAGCCTTTCCGCTGTTTTGAATTCCTTAACGACAGAACATGTTTCTTTTCGCTTGAAATTATGGCTTTGCGGGAGGTTACCATTTTGGATTTTTTAGGTGCATCAGGTGATAAAAAGGCGTGTTTTCTTTTCTCTTCCAGAGAGAGGACCAAAGAGAGAAGCGCCAAGACGCACACAAATTCCATTTTGATGCCATGTGATGTCCACGTGTCTGATTAAAGTTCACAGGCCAGCTGTGGAGGTTGAGTCGTGAAACGCGTGTGTTTTATGATGATTATGAAGAATTTTAGGGTACAAAGCAAAAATGTCAGTGAAACAGCGATTGAGAACCTTTCTGCTTATTTGTGGATCTGTTTTAATTGTATAGTGAAATTCCATTAACTGGGTTGATACAAGAGATTATAATCTCTTAAAATTATCTGGCTGATACAAGTACTTGTATTTAACTGAATCAACGCCGAAAAATAACTTAAGTATGTTGCTGTCACTAAATATTTAAAGTCTTACCTGCATTCAACAGCATTTGAGATCAAAGGCTGATCAAATAAATATAATAATTCGTTAAAACAAAACCTTCCCCCCCTCTATCCTTTCCCCCATCCTTGTGGTCCTGGCTTTTAAGTTTCAAAAAATAGCATGCTAGAGTAGTGATAAGTACATTGCCATAGCTGTAAGCAGAGAGAGAGAGAGAGAGGTTGGGTTGTGAGTTATAATCTAGATAAACAATTAAAACCAGAATAGCGGTGTTTTGTCATTACACAATGTTTACCAACTGAAAGTTACGCAGTATTCGGTGGAAGTGAGTCAGCTTGGCACACAAACTGAATTAAACCAAATCAGATTTGTCTTATTACCATTGTAAGTATCCTATCTTTTTCATTAAAACTCGTGGAATGACACGGTGATAACGACTATTTGTTTTACTTAAAGGAACCAAAGTGTCGTTAGTGAACGTCATCTATTCGTCTGTCCTCCATTGGACCATAACTGACTAGGAACCAATCAATTTGCACGTACAATTCAGCTTATTATACAATGATTGATATACTTGGAAGTGATCGTAATCTATAAGCTTTACATTTTGTTAACTGCAATCTTGTTAGGCGCTATGATTCCCTTGGAAAGCTTGATTCCTTTTGGTTTCAAACACGAGTTGGTTGGAATGTCACTGCTAATAAACAACGATCTAACGAGATAAGCTCTTAATTTGCAATTGCATCATAACAAGAATACATATTACTCTACTCTACAATCTACTTACTAATTTTTTTACGCTGATGCGGGGATATAGCATGTTTGGGATTGCTTAGTATAATCCAAAATCAAAAGAATCATCCGTATTCGTTAACAACTATTCTCTCATTAATCAGAGGAAGAATTCTTGACAAAAAAACTTCTATTTTCTGTTTTGTAAGCGTCTTGTTGTCGACTTTAAGATCTTAGCTCGGTGATGTTTCTTGTCTGAGACCGAGTTGCCTGGACCGGAGATGAGTCTTTAGTTTCCAGCCCCGTGGCATCTTCTCCTGCCCCAACTATAATCATCATGAATGTCGCGCAGCAGCTAGCTCCACACTGAGGATTTTTTCTCACATAATTTATGGAATTGACGAAGTTAGAGATGTACTGCACTGCAATTCAAGAGGACAAAGTCAACTATTGGTTTGGAAAGAAACATCTGACTAAGGTGAATGCTACATCAGCGATACTTTTTGTATTAGTTGTTAAATGCGAAATCAATGAAGAAAGTTCAGTTTATCTTGCTGTCGCATGGGTTGGCTGTCTCTGTCTAACGCTGTTGTTAGTGTTCGGCACAAGTTGCGTTGTGGAATAAATGGTTCTTTAGCTTGAACTGATTAAGACATTACACCTGTGTTATGCACCTACATTGGAATATAAATATTTCTCTATTCTCAAAGGGGACCATAAGAGGAATTGAGCTCATTGACTCGTACTGTGGGGATGTCACTAGCTTTTATACATGGTACGTTTAGCATAGAACTTAAATTCTTACCTGCCACAACGGCTATAACGGTTACATTTACAACCACCAATATGACTGAAACAAAGTTACTGTCTCTTTCTCTCTGGCTTTCCAATGAAACCTCGTCAATTGGTATTTTTAATAGCATCCCAACGTTTAAGGTGACAAAGTTTGCGATAAGTGCCACAAGCTGCAACCAATGTTCAAACGTGTCCCTGATAGGCTTGAAATAAGCCACTAAAATAGTGTAGATCCCTGATGTTATGGCAGCAGCACCCAAATAACTTCGTGTGTTAGCCCCCATAAGCAAGAGTAATGACGTCACCCCTACTTTTCTGATCAGCTCGAAAAGTTCCCAAAACCAACACTGCCGAGCATAATTTTCGTACAGGAAACTGAGACCAATAGACATTTCCCTTCCTTTGCGATGTTGGGTTTCCTCTTGGTCGTGGATCTTTCTATGGAAGTACCTCCATAGTAAAAAGAGAACTACGGCTGGTACACCTACAACAGGTAGAAGTAAGAAATAAACAGCTATTGTATATCTGTTGTACTTCTCGGTGAAACACTGGACTGTGAAGTCGGCGCGCAAGAAAGACTGACACACGTCTGTGCTGGAGCAAATCTGTTGACATGTTGGGGACAGAAAGCTTAAGATGGTGGTACAAGTCCAGGGGAAAGTCACAAAAACCAAGAGGGAAACAATCCGATAGACCTGAGTTCTTTCAGCGGACAGAGATTCAGTCAATTCCAAATTATTGAGCCCCTTTTTAAAAAGCAGCAGTTTCCTAAGCTGGTAGACTAGAGTTGCAAGGATGAGAAGTGCCGTGTGTAGCCCAATTACAACTAGTAATCTGGTGTACGCATTTACTGTTATTCCGTTGATGATACACTGCAACGGTATAATATCCAGTAAGTTCAGCTGCACTATGTTTGCATAATGCACAAGCGTCCATAACGCATTGGGCCATTCAACGTAAGAGAACGTGTTTAAGGTTCCATATGTGACTTGGTAAAAGCCAATGACGATCTTAAGACGAGCTAACATCATGTCAGTCACTTTTCTACCGGATGCACAAGTTTTTTTCCTTCCCAAAATCACGCTTGCTGTGAGAATAGTACATATGATGGTGATACCACTCACTTGCAAAATGAACCAAAGTAGTTTGGGACATTTGCGACAGCGGTTGAACAATTGGTAATGTCCTTTACTGCAAACGGCGCATAATGGACCCTCGTATCCATAGGAACACTTCGACTCCATACCTCCAAGACATGCCTCTTTTGCTGGACATTCGTAAACCGGCGGCACTGTTCCTTGGAATCTGAGTAGTGTGTAGGAGTCACTGTTGACTAAAAGATCTGTTGAGAATTTTTGGTATTTCGTGAGACTGTCATTCGATGGCCATTTCCAATAGAATCCTGGCTGTAGTCTCACTGACTCGTTTTGGCATGATAGTCCTCGTGATAGACATTGCATGCATTGGCCAAATCGATCCATTCGATAAAAATTCGGTAAGCACTCGCACCCTTTAAAGCCAGCAAACTTTGTATATTGGGTGCCTGAAACAAAAAACGTAAACGTAAAACGTAAATAAACGTAAAATTTAAAAAACACAAACGTGGCTTTGTTGTTCATCGCATAACATTTAAGATGAAATTGAAAGTCATCAACGATAAAGGCTTGTTGAACTAAGTAGTGTCGCTGTCTGAATAGAGCTTTTATACTAATTCTAGTCTAGGCACAGAGGCCGAAGAAATAGAGAAATATACATTTTTGCTCGCTCAATACGAATAATCTTGAAAATACTCGCCAGTCCTACTTAAAGTGCCTGTGACACGAAAAATTTGTTTGCGTAAATATTTTGCTTATCATATGTACAAACCAATTCCGATAGAAGAAAAATTAAAACAAGTATTTTCCTGGCCCTAAAGTGCTTTTATTTTGTCTTACAAGTGTGCCGTGAACTGGTAACGAATCAGCGGGTGATGACGTAAAAAATCGTACTTTCAATGCACAAAAAAATGGTCAAGGAGAACTCGCTAGCCGCTTAAGTCGGTTATTTCTGATTGTGAATGCAGTTATCAACCAAAAAACGCAAAAAAAAATTTCGTGTCATAGGCACTTTAAGGTGATTCCTCAGTATTACAATGCACATCTTGTACGGCGCATAAAAATTACGAAATCAGGAAAAAAAATATCAACTGATGTTTATATTTTCTTGTTGTACCAGTAGTAGCATCAATGCAGTAAGATTGGCCCATCATATCACTTAATCTTTTAACCCCCAAGAGTGACTGGCATCTAATTTCTTCTTACCATATCACCCTAAATCAAACATTGAGGTCAGGAGAATAAAGGAGCTGATCACTGACTAAAGAAGCTCTTGATTGTTAGACTAATTCTCCATGTCGGCATCTTGGGAAATGTTTAGAGAACAGTATGGAGAATATGCGTACTGATGTTAGAGCGTAGAGGGTTAAGCAAGCTTGGTGATCTATCTCCTCTTTGCACTTTTCTAAACAGGGATTGGTTGGGATCATTTTAGGAAATTTTGAAAAAAAACTCAGTAACTTTTCTCCTGAGGATCACCTTAAGTGGCCACCATTACGAGTACTTGAAATTTGGACGCATGCACCCTAACGTTACACTTTTAGACAGTCGATGGTGGAAGCTAGTGAAGAATTTCCTAATTGCTATTTTGTTATTAACTTCTCGACCTTTAAGCAAGAACAGGGAAAAGAAAAAATTAAATTGTAGTAATTCTGCGGTTCATCTAACCAAAAAACTTTTTTTACTAACCTTAAACAATTTCATACCCTAAGCTGATGGCTCATAAAACAGTTTATACAATCATTTTAAGTTATAGTCGTTCACGAACCTTGAGGGCACAAAATACAATCTGTTATGGCTTTTCCTGGTTTGGATTCCAGTGTCACGAAATGACCTAACGGGCAATGTTTACATCCAGTACCGGAATAGGCCAGTTCATCTTGATAAAAACCACCTGTAGCACAAGTGTGAAAATGATTGGTTTATCGTCAAAAATGGATGTCATGGATCATTGCAAAGACTGCCAATCCTTGAATATTATTAACAGGGAGTTCAAGCTTGATAAAGCTCTGTGTCTTCGTAAGTCATCATTGGTTAATCTGTTGTTACCGCACATTTAAGGTAACAGCTACTGAGCATGCATGGGCTTTTAAATATTGGCTGATGTTTTTCGTACGAAGTAATCTGGAATCGCCCATTGAAAATGTCAAACCCGTAAAAGATTGGGGTTTCTTTCTCTTAAGTTGTCATTGCAACTCTCCAAGGTGGGCGTTAGGGGTTCAAGGGTAGGATTCATGGAACACCGACCAACTAAGGTTCCCTTTATAGGCTAGTCGTTCAGGCTGTGTTATCAAGTGCTTGCTTACTTCATTACCGGCACGCACTCGTCAGTTCGCTCCTATCAAGAAAGATATTTGCTAGGCGTTTATCGACAATGGCTTAAAAATAACAATCGAGAAGATCGTCAACTTTCTCGATGTGATATTGAACCTGAACAAAGGAACTTAAGAGCAGTATGCAAAGCCCGACAGCACGCCACCCTAGGTGCACCGTGAAAGTAATCACTCACATGCCATCACAAAAACATTTTCCCTGGTGATCAACAAAAGGCTCAGCGAAATCTCATCAAACAATGAATACTTCGACAAAGTGGCACCCATGTATCAGAATTCGTAACAAATGAGCGTTTACGAACACCAATTGAAATTCGACACACCAACTAACGATCAGACGCGCAGCAAGGAGATAACTAGAGACAAACACACTCGTCCTTTAAGTGAAGAATGCCTAACCCAAAATGTGGTCTACCGAGCCATAGTTGAAAGCCTAAAGGGAAAGGAAACATATATCGGACTTGCCGCAAACCAATTTAAGACAAGATTCCGCAACAAAACGGCCTCATTTAGAAACGAGAATATAAGGAACGCAACCGAGTTGAGCAAACACATCTGATCTCTAAAGGACACCAAAACGCAATTCGCTCCGACCTAGAAAATAATGGCTCGTAGCAGACCGTATTGAAACGTGGAAAAAAGATGCAGCCTGTGCGTAAAGAAAAATTTTTCATCGTATGCAAACCGGGAGCGGGCACCCTGAAAAAAAGAATGAGCTGACGAATGCGTACCGGCATGCGAGGAAATACTTGATGACAGATGCTTGAACGATCAGCCTCTAAAAGGAACCTTAATTGTTCACTGTTTCAGACATTTGGGAACTGTTTTGTGATACAATGTTGTAATTTCTCCTTTTCTTTCAATTAATAAATTTATATAGATATAAATGAATGTGTTGGTAGAGTCTACCTTGGCATAAAGTGCTCAATGCTGTGGTAGCAGAGCTAAGTATACATAAGTTAAAGAATTAAAGAGGACGCATCGATTCTCTGTGACTCTGAGTTTCGCGCCTACGCGCTCGTCAGACAGACGCTCTGTCTGACGAGCGCTTAGCTGCGAAACTCAGAGTCACAGAGAATCGATGTGTCCTCTTTAATTCTTTAACTTATGTATATATATATGTATAAATCTACACCGTTTTCAAAAACGTTGCGGCAATGAAAATATATATGAAATACACATATTTTGAAAACGGGTGTATAAATATCTTAATAGGGAGAGAGAAAGTTTTTCAATCGCCATGTAATCAACTACCTGCAGGACATGGAGCGCAGGTCCCTTGCATCCCTGCATATGTTCCAAGAGGACAAGGATAACATAAATTCTCATAGACACTTCCCTCAGTCAGTTTACAAACGAACCCCAAGTTAGAGCTCCCAATAAGTGAGGGTATGGTCACATTGTAAATGATTATTTGCTGAGCAGGAGTCCTGTGGTGAAAAATGAAACCGATCAAATACTTTCCAAATGTTGGCAGATTAGGTAAGCTCATATTTTCTGAACGTGGCTTTAGTTATGGGTGTCAATGTCATGCTAAAAAAACCATCCTGCACATGATGAATTACAGATTATCATCTAACAATGCATCAAACAAAATCTAAAATCCTGGAGACTGAGTTAGAGTTACCTGTATAAAAGGCGAGGAAGTTAAAAATACTTCCGCTTAACTTAGAATATATTTAAAATTTTGCCGGCTAAAAGTAGAAAATAAAACCTCGAATGAAACACGGGGGCTATTTATCCTATGTCAAAAACAATGATTTCCTCACAGGTCTATCGCCAGGTCACGTGGTCCCGACAGATGGTTTGGTGAAAGTACATTAATAGGGGTGAAAACCAAGATCCTGTAGAGATGAGTGAAGGATAAAAGAATTATTTATCCAGTCAAGATGTATATCCAGATACCAGGAGATATAATAGCCCCACACACTGTCATTTAATATATTCATTTCGCGGAATTGTGTCAGAAATCAATCGGGTGATATAAGAACTTGTCAATATAACGAGGCTCTCGCAAATAAGCGCGGTCCTATCTCTATGGTCATGAATCTAAACTGTGTAACAATAGTTAGTAAAAGGTCATCAATGATAACGCAGCAATTTCTTAGCACCTCAACTTTCTGATTTTCTTCTCGTCACCCCAGTAACTCTGCCTTAGCTCAACTGCTTTTATAACATAGCTAGTAAATTTGTCTAATCAAATTCAATTGCGCGAGCGTGCTCCATATCCCTATTGTGCACGCTAATGACGTCAGCAAACAAATCCCTCAAAAAAAAAATTTCCTTCGGGTTGAAAATGTTATAAAACAATTGGTTCATACGTCAGCTGTGCGTTCATCGAGAACGAAGCTAAAGTTGCTCTCGGCTACGCCTCGAGCAACTCTTGCGCATCTTTCGTGCTCTCCAAACTTCCCGCGTGCTTCATATCTCGATGAACGCACGCTGGCATATGAACCAATTGTTAAATAATGAGCCGGAAAAGATACATCTTTAATCTTAGCTTACAGATATTGTAAATCCGGCGTTGTTGAAAAAGCTCTTTCTGATATTTGGCGTAATGGATTGTATGCTAGATTACTGAAATAATTCAGAAATAAGACAGAGATGATCAGAACTCTTAGTCATCCTCGCGTAATACCAGCATGTTTCCTGAGTTTGCCTGGGCCGGGCAAGGAAATATGGGTTGCGGGTCGAAGAACGAATGGAGAAAGTCAGGAACAATGCTATTAATCATGTGACTTCTAGGGTATGCCTTTCCTCTCATATCAGGTTATGTGATAATTCTCTAAAGAATACCCTCTTATTCACGCGCATATGTTTGCATAATTGAGACCTGATGGGTAACCAAAACATACAAGCTAAAGAGATCTATTCAATTGTACTTTCAACAAACTGCTACAATAGTGCCTTTTATGACTGTACATTACAGGTGTCCACAACAGCAATCAAAGTCAACTACCCGATTACATCCTTATTGATAAAAAAATGCGTTAATAACAATTTACTTAACCTCCAGGAAAAAATGCAGCTTGCACAAATTATCTCTTACTTACATGAGCTTTACGGAAGAAAGGTTATAGAAGGAATGACTTTCGATTATTGCTATCCGGTTTCTTGAAAGATCACTGGGAAGAAATTAATGAACCACAGATGAAAATATTTTTTGTTGCTGTACATACAAAGTAGAAAGGACTTTGAGTTACCGAAGGCTATGCTTGTTCTTAATGTTGTACCCATACAGTTCTTCGGCACATATAGTGGCGCCTTGTGATGAAACCTTCTATTTCAGCAATCTCTAAAGCGTTTGAAGCTAGCCGGCAGCATTTCCAGGCGTCGTGACATGGAGCAACCGAAATGCCGGGGTCTGAGATGTCGATTTGAGATGATGGCTAAATTAGAGAAAAATGGCTTCCGGACTTCAAGGCAAATAAGAAAAGTGACACAATTTTCGTAGAAAAGAGGGATAATAATTTGTCATTGTTTACAACGATTTTTAAGTGTTTCACTGATCTCTGAAATATTCAGCAACCAAAACTCCAATTTTCAGGCCATATGCATATTGAGTGTGGAATCCCCCTTCCGACGATGCTAAGCGTAGATTTGCCTGGGATATCACATAAATGACACAACAAATAGAAAGTCTTCCTCTTTTGTCCCTGGCTTAAACTTTTTTATTAGCAGGAAGAAAAAAAGTATTCAATGTACGCACAGGTAAAATAGATATCTCATGTTGCTAAAAGTCCCATTTGATAGCAGATAAATCTTGTTGCCTCCAAGCAATCTAAGGGCAAACATACAATCAGAGACAAACAAAAATGTCAATAATGATAGCTTTTCAGTCTAGTGTGGTCGTCTTTTTTTAAAAAAAATTCTCTTCGTTGTGGTTCAGGATTGTTTCAGATGACTGCAAGCATAAACTCAAGATTTAATTACATACGAAACCTAAGCTCTATAGAAGGCATTAAGACGCTTGTCTGAGGCCGAGCTTGACACGTTACTTACATAATATTAGCTTTGCCATAGCCTTTGAATGCATCCTGGTGTACAGTCTCGATCTGGTTATTAGAAAGATCTCTGCAAGGCGGTAATAAAGTAATTAGTCTCAATGTTATGAACATGACTTCGATTACTGGTAATATGGCATTCATGTAAACTCATTGAAGAGTTTTTCTAAAAGCAGGCTTGCCACTCCCAGTCAACCTTGAGACCAGCTTCCGAACGACCCATGACCAACCCCACGGCCCAGAGCCCTCCTACACCCGCTGTAAGTAGTGGAGTTTACTATTCCTACGGGAACGGTTCCACCCAACAAGAAATCTGGGGATGAAGTTCCTCCACCTTTCAGATGCTGTTATGAAAGACGATGTCTGGGTTGATTGATTTTCTCCCAAAGGAATTAGAGTTGAAAAGTCTATCCTGTCTCAAAATGGAAACGAGTAAACTAGAACATTACTGTTAGGAAATAAGTTGTTGTTCATCGCGGTAGCTGCATTGGATGATATTATAAGTTTTTGTTCTGTTGTCTCACGAAGTCACTTGATGTGGAACGCAGCGTTTCGACTGCTTCCTGCAAGTCTTCTTCTTGCGATGGGGTCGACTGGTTGTGGCACGGCATTATGTACCATGGTGATCTGTTGTAATTGGTGCATTTCGATCCGGCTATTGTTTCCAAGTACCATGGTTTCCTCAGGCGTTCGCTGGTTTTTCGTGTGTTGTTGGTTTAGATGTTTTCTTATTGTAGGCATCCTCGCTTCCGGTATTTTGGTTCCGTTGTCCCTGTTTATGTTGTTTGGGTTGAGTCTTATGTAAATTACCTCTTACACTTT